GGTGAGCAAACAAAATATATTGTAATATTTTTCGGAAACCCACGGTCGCAGTAATCTGAATGGACATAACGAGATTATCTCGAAAAATAAAATATATGAGGGTCTATACGTTGGATTCCATTCTTGTACATTTAATGATGGTATATAAATTATTGCCAAGTTAACGAATACGTCTATAAGATAAAGTAAATCAAGCGCAAACATAACAACTAAAATAAACAAAATTAGAATGAAATATGTATTAACATGATTAATTAAAAAAACTTACAGTCTAAACGTTCATTTAATCTTTCGATGCAATCCGTGTTCACGGAATATGATAATGTATAGAAAACAATAACATAGTTTAAAATTAGGTTACTGAAATACCAAACTGGTTCCGTTGGCAAACTGAACATTCGGCGCCAAAATGGTTCATGTTCATCTTTTATTGGTAGTTCTGTTTTTGAGTACTGTTTTTTTAACTGAAATCCCATTATCTCTTTTCTACTACCTTTTTAAACGAAATATTTTCAAAATAATGTAGACAACTTTTCTAATGAAGTTTGATTCATTTGGTTTAACTGACAAATGTTTGGTCAAACCAATCAAACGTTGTTATAGAGATCACATTAGATATGATGAAAATAATCCTAAAATGTTGTTACAAGGGGGTGAAAAAATCAACCCCTATAATACTTTGCATCAGAACTTTTTAATGCGTCTAGTACACTTTTCTATTTAAAAACAATTCTATCTAACGACAGGTAGTTGTCATTATGCATTGATAACCTAAGAAATAAGGTTTCATCCGAAAATATGTTGTAATCTGAATAAGTTTAGTGAAAATAGCTTTTTATTTTGTACGTGGGTATAAATTAAACAATTTTAGGTTAGGATTTAATACGAAAATGCATATTTAACATTACTTTTAACTTCGTAAAAGAAATGTCAAATCGCAACTTTAAAGTGATTTTTCGGTAAGTACTACACTTTTCCACACTTTTTTTTTATCATCAACGCCTCTTTTGACTCATTTCCTATCGATTAAAAAAAAAATCATCGATTTTTAAGAGAGACTCCTAATCTTGAATTATTCCAACTTGATTAAAGAAAGGAATTCAATACACTACATTTTTGTCGCCTAACATTTTTTCTTAAAATCTTTAGTTTGACCATAAAAAAATAAAATAATACAATTACAGTTACAAAAATCGTCAAAAGGTGTCATTTTATTAGCAACTCTGCCAAATTTCATTCTTCTAAATTCCTCCATAGTGGATTTATTAAATAAAAACAATTTTTCCCCTAACTTTAGAGGGCTGTAATTTGGAGGAGAGGGGGTTTTAAATAAAAAATTATATGAAAGACACTCCTTAATTTTTGATGTAAAATCATCCCTTGAAATCTTTCTCATCAATTTCGAAACACATGTATATCGAAATATAGAAAAGATTAAAATATCGGGAGATATACTTATTGAACCAACTTGAATCGAACTGTACGTACGGATTTTGTGACTCTTCTCTAAAGGCATATGGAGCATGTGTATACGTAAAGTCAGAAAACGACAGTAGAAATAGTCAAGTCCAATGGGGTCATACACGATTTTTTTTTATTATATTTTCTGAAAGTTTATATAAAAATATAGTTACCGTTATTTTTTTTTAATATTTTCGAACAGTCATTGTTAAAAAAATTATTGAAAATTTATATACCCATTTGCGCTTTTAAAATTCCCGCGTTGATGACGTACGATTCTCACTTTTGCGTCCCCTGCTCCCCGCTCAAATGCGAGAAAGAGATGAACGTCATTTAGGTTGTATTGAAAAGAGATAGAGTGTTTGTAGGTTATGTTTATTATGTTTTGTTCATGGATGTAATAGAGACACTGTATTACATCCATGGTTTTATTTTGACACTGTCACACCGCAAGCGCTATCTAACGGACAATTTAACTTGTTTTAGGCAGTGCGGTTCCTACGTCACAGAAAAGCCGCGAAATTATTTCGTTTGAATATTTGCTATTTTTCACTTCAAATTACGCAAAATATAAAATTGATCAAAATATTTCTTTTACTTTGTGTTCATGCATATACTTGCATATATCGTTTGACATAAAAATTTTCTCTAAATTTAATAAGTGTGTATGACCCCATTNTGCGCACAGCGCATGCGTTAAAATGTAAAGAGGAAACCGTTATTGAAATTCAAATTTAAAAATTTAAACATGATGACAAAAGTATACAAAACAAAAATTTAGAGTAATCCCAGCGATACAAAGGGAGGTTGTGAATTTGGAATAGGTTGTGAATTTGTACCCTTCTGCCGACTCCGAATACTTTCCCTCTCCAGAGGAAACGCTGCATGAAGGTCAGAACGTATATATAAAGCATCGAGATACATATAATTTACTGGAGTACGTGCTCACGATATTCGCTTGGTCGAGAAAACGGTCCGATTCGCCAGCATGTTCCCCCACCCTATAACGGCAAGAAATACAAATAGTACTAACTAATGGATATAATTCAGCATGAATTTATTCAATATTTACTAAGTAATTCAAATAATGTTATTCAATAATGATGAAAAATACCAAATAATACATATTTAAGTTATTATAGTTAGGAAAAAAAAAAAAATAATAGGTTCGTTCCAATCGCACAAATTTGACTCGTCGTGTACGCGTACACGACTAGTACAGGACTTTTTTCTGCGCATGTTCGTCCGTGGACACGTTCGTGACGCGTACATTTCGTCAACGCTGTTGGAACGGTTTGAAATTTCGATGTACGTTTTATATCCAACCCTGCCGATAGTTAGCGCTGCAACCACAATTTGCCATTTCAAACGAAATCCATTTACTCATTTTTTTAACAATAATGAATCAAAGTAGCATTAACTAGAAATGTAAAAAAAGACGTTATAACCCTTACTATAAAAATGAAATAAAAATATGCATGTTTTTACACTTTTTTGATTAATTTGTGTATGAAACTTATCATAAAACATACATATAAATAAAAGTTCTTAAAAATGTGTTAAACAAAACAGCAGAAACATGTAAAAGAGTAGAGAATAATCCAAATCCAAATGTACAGGGTCTGTCACGACGAGCTGAATCTTATATATAAAAAAAAATTTTTCAGATTTCTCCAACTTGCGGTTATACCGGAAATGAACCCCAACTTTGTTATTTTAACAATTTCTATTGAATTTTCGAGATCCCCGCCAAATTTTAATACAATTTGATAAAGTCATCATATGTCTAGAGTGCACGATTTTTCAGTTATTTCAGTCATTTCGAAAATTTGGGCAGATACAACCCTTCACAATAAAAATAATTTTTCGAAATTACACTCGAGTCCGGTCAAATATTCACAAAGTTTGCACAGAGACGACCCATAGCTTACATAATGCTTGAAAAGCAACCCCCAAATTAGGGTTGCCATTTAAAAATATGAAGTTTTCGACTTTTCGACATAGGCAAATTCGGGGAAAATTTCTGACCAATCTGTATAACTTTTTAAAAAACTTTTCAGGGTTATGTAAACTATGGGTCCTCTCTGTGCAAACCCTGAGAATATTTGGCCGGACTCGAGTGTAATTTCGAAAAAACCGAAATAATTCATAAATGGTGCACTCTAGACATATGATGACTTATATCAAATTATATTAAAATTTAGTAGGGATCTCGAAAACTCAATAAAAATTGGTACATTCCATTTAAAATAACGAAGTTGGGGTCCATTTCCGATATAACCGGAAGTTGGAGAACGCTGAAAATATTTTAGCAGAAACGAGCACCACGGATAAACGCTATATGCAAATTTTCAGAGAAATAGTGCCAGTAGTTTTCCACATAGATATAGACTCAGCTTGTCGTGACAGACCCGCTTGATGGCAAAGATAACCATAAGAGATACAAACAGACCGGCTGCACAATTGGAAATGAGTTATGCGCAAGCGCTAAAGAACGTGACAAACCGTACATCGTCGAAACCAGGTACGCATTTGACTTGTCGCGGACGCGTACATGAACGCGTCCGACGGTCGTTGCAACTCATGACAACTTGTCGCCGACAAGTCCGCGGCACGTCCACGTGTCGGATGGAACAACACCTTTCAACTGCGCAGGCTTGTGACTGTCAATTGGCAGTTAAAAGTGCGGTTGGAACGAACCTAATAAATTTTACGTATGTTACGTTGAAGCTTTTTGCCGTTATGGGGTGGGGGAGGCCGGCTCGTTTTCTTGCTCAAAGCACGCACTCCAGTAAATATAGTATATCTCGATGGTCTCTATTAACAAATCATAATAAACATATCCTATAAATACTCTATCTCTTTTCAATACAACCTAAATGACATTCATCTCTATCTCGCAGTTGAGTGAGGAGCAGGGGACGCTAAGGTGATACTCATACGTCATCAACGCGGGAATTTTAAAAGCGCAAATGAAAATATAAATTTACAAACATTTTTTAACAATGATTTTGTTCGAAAATATTCAAAAAAAAACACTGGTAATTATATTTTATACAAACTTTCAGAAAATATAATTAAAAGAAAATCGTTTATGACCCCATTACTACGTATGTAGACTCTTATCATGAAAGTGAAGGTACTAAGAGAACTAAAACGTGAAAAGGTAAAAATTTTAGCAAGCAAGAAGTTTTTTATTTTCTTTCTTATATGTATATTTTCCGAACTAGCAACATGGATCCATTTACAAGAACTTACAAGATGATAAATTTAAATTACTATCTCGATTTTCTTCAAGATTCGTACATAATTTTTAACATATTTTTTTTACTTCTTTTTTAAATGCGACAATGATGCGTACAAAATAATGATAAATTATAATTTTTCACAGAAAGTTTGCTTTATGGCGCCCTCTAAGAGAAAATGGTAAAACCATTAAAATTTTAGTTCTAAATTTCGCCTAAAACCAATAAACTTTGATAGATAACCTTAAAAAGTATAGCTTTGAAATCATTTAATTAACTTCATTTAATAAACATTAATTATTCTATTAAAACAACAATAGAATTGTATATTGAATTCCAAATTTTCAACTTTGAAATCATGATGTGACAAATTTCCGGTCAATCGTGTCCATTTTCATGAATTCCCATAACGCGTAACGATGCTCGCGCGTGTTCTTGTTTAAAATCATTCGTTTCCGTGTAAATTAAGAAATTTTACGTGTTAACTCATTCCATACAATTTCAACATCATGGGAGTTCCAGCATTTTTCAGATGGCTTAGTAGAAAATATCCTTCTGTAGTCGTACATTGCATCGAACAAAAAGTAAGGTTATGTTTATTTATCAAACTACGTCCTATTTCAATTTTAACCTCTCTCACAGACAACTGATTTACATGGAAATCCAATTAGTGTTGATTCTTCTGAACCTAATCCAAACGGGGTGGAATTTGATAATTTATACTTGGACATGAACGGAATAATTCATCCTTGTACTCATCCCGAAGACAAACCAGCACCGAAAACTGAGGATGAAATGATGATTGCTATTTTTGAATGTATTGATCGTCTGTTCAGGATCGTCAGACCACGCAAATTATTGTATATGGCCATTGATGGGGTTGCCCCAAGAGCTAAAATGAACCAACAACGTTCAAGACGTTTTCGCGCATCTAAAGAGACCGTAGAGAAAGTTAATGAGATGAGTCGGATTAGAGCTGAATTATTGTTAAAAGGTGCAAAATTACCAGCTGAAAAGGCCAAAGAAGAGCATTTTGATTCAAATTGTATTACACCTGGAACTCCTTTTATGGCTCGTTTATCTGAATGTTTACATTTTTATATACACGATAGGTTAAATAAGGATCCTGGATGGAAAGGAGTGAAGGTTATTTTGTCTGATGCAAATGTGCCAGGAGAGGGTGAACATAAAATAATGGATTACATCAGAAAACAAAGAGGTAAATGTTTAACTATTTTCATTTTTTATTAATTAAATTGTTTTTTATTAATAGGTCAACCAGATCACGATCCAAATACCCAACATTGTCTTTGTGGAGCAGATGCAGATTTGATTATGTTAGGTTTAGCAACACATGAACCAAATTTTACAATTATTCGTGAAGAATTTAAACCAAACAAACCGAGACCGTGCGATCTTTGTGGTCAACTTGGTCACGAAATGAAGGAATGTATGGGTTTGGCAAGATTACAAGATGGCGAAGATGAAAAAACTTTTGGTTCGGAGCAAGAATTTATTTTTGTTCGTTTAAATGTACTTAGAGAGTATTTAGAACGCGAATTACAGATGCCTAATTTGCCTTTTACGTATGACTTTGAACGAGTAATTGATGACTGGGTTTTTATGTGTTTCTTTGTTGGTAATGATTTTTTACCACATCTTCCGAGTTTAGAGATCAGAGAAGGTGCCATTGATCGATTGGTTGGTCTTTATAAAGATTGTGTTTACAAAACACATGTAAGTTATTTAAAACTTGCGTTTTTAAGTATGAACTACAGGGTTGGATGATCTAAAAAGCCGAATAAGTACGTGTGTCAGGATAAAAGTGACATACATATTTATACCCAGCTTCCAAAACTACAATCAGGTTTTCTTTCTGATTGTAGTATGTATGTACATATATGTATAATAAATGACTGAGCTACAGTCTTCATTATACAGGCTGTATCTGAATGACTGCAACAAACTTCAAGGGGTGATTGTGACCCAAATTTCATTTTCCTAGCGTTTATGGTTTTTGAGAAAAAAAAATTAAACCAAAATTTTCCGCTATTTTTGGAGGGGTGTAGCTCCTTAGGGGAGCCGAAGTCGCCCATGGTTCATATATGAAAGTACCCTTAAAATTCACTAAAGAATCACCCCTTGAAGTTTGTTGCAGTCATTCAGATACATCCTGTATAACTTTGTTACTTCTCTTAAATTTTTCTATTACCTTAATGTCTCATCATAATTTATCGCATAAATCTTAATTTATTTTGGAAAAGTTATTCATAAATTTAGTTTAGTATACTTCATAAAATGGTATAATTTGATCCAGCCCTGTTGAGATAAATTCAAGTATTATTAAAAAAATTGCTAACATTTAAGGCAATGACAGGTGTTATGTAAAGTTCAAATAGTTTTTATCGAATTTTTCAGGGTTACTTAACAGATAGTGGTGATGTTAATTTGGAAAGGGTACAACTGATTATGTTTGAATTGGGGAAAGCTGAGGATGAAATTTTTAAAACCAGGCAACAAAAAGAATTGGCGTTTAAGGCTAGGGATAAAGCAAAAAAAAGAAGGACAGACGAGTATCAACAACGGCAAAGGAAACCCGATTGGGCTATATTAGAAAACACTCAATTTGCTCCAATAGTAAATAATAATGAAATAGGAAATAATCAGTTTATAACAAAATTAAAATTTTTTATTTCAGCCTTTAGGTCAATCAAAGACAATACTAAATCCAAGACAAGAAGCCTTTCAAATACGAAAAGCAGGAATGCATTCAGCTTCGGACAGTTTGCAAAGTGCTGATAATAAAGAAGCTTTGGAATCGATGTTACGCAAAGATTCAAACACTTCTTCACCTAGTACGGAAGAAAATAAAGGGATTAAACGTAAACATGACGAGAGTGATGAGGAAGAAGAACCAAACGATGAAGTTCGTTTGTGGGAGGATGGATTTAAAGATCGTTATTATGAATCGAAATTTGACGTTACGGTTGAAAACTTAGAATTTAGAAACGCGGTAGCTCTGCAGTATGTTCGTGGACTGTGTTGGGTTTTGCGCTATTATTACCAAGGTTGCGCCTCGTGGAAATGGTATTACCCGTACCATTACGCGCCATTTGCATCCGATTTTATAAATATTGCTGGATTAAGCACAGAATTTAGTACTGATTCTAAACCAGTGAGTCTATTAATTGACTCATACCATATTATGGAGATATTAAAAAAAATATATTTTTAGTTCCTTCCACTACAACAGTTGATGGGTGTATTTCCTGCTGCAAGTAGTCGTCATATTCCACAACCTTGGACACATTTAATGAGTGACCCTGTAAATATACCTATAAGGGACATAAACCTTTATTATTTTAAAACTTTTTTCATTTTTTTTAGGATTCTCCAATTATTGATTTTTATCCAACTGATTTTAAAATAGATTTAAATGGGAAGAAATTTGCTTGGCAAGGTGTCGCTCTTTTACCGTTTGTAAATGAAACACGTCTTTTTAAAGCGTTAGAACCGTATTATTCTGAATTAACACCAGAAGAGGTTAAACGTAATATAAGAGGCGATGATCGCTTGTATGTGGCAAATGGGAACAGAGCTCATGGTATTATTAAAGCACTTTATTCAGAGAGAATTGATAAAGATTTTGAGACTGCAGTCAAAATTGATGGCATGAGTGGAACTGTACTGTTAGCAGATGATTATGTTCCAATTGGAGAGTAAGTCTTACAAGTAATATATCTTATGTATGCTATAGAGAAAAATGTGTGGATATGATAAATCTAATAATTTGCTTGGTGGAAGTGTGAGACTTCTATTTCAAAAACTGCAATAACTTGTGTGAACTCTGCATGCGGCAGGTAACAAACGACAACTCTCCACATTACTGTACTAATTTGGTTGTTCATCCTGGGTAGCGCTAACAATAAGAAGTGAAAGATGAGTTTCCATGATTCGTTACTGTTAGGGGTAGTTTTTGATATTAACCGTTTTTCTAGAAATCCGCCTTAAAATTATCCTCATTTCTTACATTTTTTAAATTTTTCGCGATTTTTAAGAAGGGTGTACGATTTTAAAAAAATGCGCCTGCCATTCAGTGTTCTCCATTTTGAATTCTCGAAAACGGACATCAGATTCGTCATCAGCGACCCAACAAACCCCTTGTGACAAGATTTCGCAACAATTGTAAAAATAATTCGAACTAAAATGGCGATCGGACGGATATGACGATATACGTGTCGAATATTTTTCCGCACACTACTTGTATGCCAAGATTCAAGAAAATCGCCGTATGGCACTTCCCTAGTGTTACTTGTTTCTGTTCCCGTCTTCGGGAATAGTTATTTATATAGTCCAATTTATTCAGAATGTAGATTAAAGAGGCACCAAGAAAATCAGTAGAATAAACGTTAATGAAAATTCATGCAAATTAAAGCATATATGATGACGTGAAAAATTTTAATTTAATAAACTGTTTTTCTGTGGCAATATTTTCATTGCACAAAATAATAATAACAGCTACCACTTAAATCTTTAATATTGAATATTAAGAAATATATTGTAATTTCTATTTCCACCTGTATGTACATTGCTTATTTCTTTACAGAACTATTAATTCTCCCATATTTGGTTTAAAATCAATACATGACAACAAAGTTTGTTGCATAAGATATAGAGATCCAAAGTACAACAAAGAATACATTTTTCCCGCTAGGAAATTAAAAGGAGCAAAAACTCCACCAAGAGTGTTAAAACCTCAGGGTATGGACGATGAAGGTAATCGAAATTGGAGACCACAAATAGGCATGGCGCCATCTACTACGAGGTAACCTGCGAATTAAAAAAAATTTTAATCAGGGTAATATTTTATTTGCTTATAGAGCTTCGTTAGGTCGACCTGGACATAGAGCTTTAAATCATTACGTACCCAGAGGTTCTTCAAGGGGAGGTCAAGATTCAAGACAAAATCAATCATACAGAGGAGGTTATCAGAGTTACAACCAACAAAACAGTTATCAGCAAGGCGGATATTATCAAAATCAAAGAGGTTAGTGTCGATTGATTATACATATGTGTAGATTATCCAGCAACTTTTGAACAGCCTGCATTTTTAATTATCGAATTTTATACATATACAGGTGTCCCGTATCTTCCGCACCAGAGCATTATACGGTTGTAGGATACATTATTCTGATGCGACCTTTCTAATAAAATTTTTTCGAAATGTTTATAATAACCGCACGGGAACAGTTTAAAGTTATCCGCTTTTGTCTAATAGCGGACGAGTTTGATTCACCGAAAAAGTTTATTTCTCTTCGCCTGACGAATCCATTGGTGAGTACACGTAGGAAACGAGTTATCATCGGCGTAGCGGACCGGCCGAGGGTGGCACCGATTACCTGAGTCTGATTGCGATCTGCTGATTGGACGAAAAACAGTTCGTTTAAACAGTTCCCGTGCGGTTATTATAAACATTTCGAACAAATTTTATTAGAAAGATCGCTAAAAAATAATGTATCCTACAACCGTATAATGGTCTGATGCGGAAGATACGGGACAGCCCCTGTATAGACCATAAATATATAAAGGTCTCTTTTTCGAAAACGTGTTCCATGTCACGCCTACCCTCGCATACATAGTATATCACGACAAAGCGTGCCCGAAATTTTATCATTCGCGACCCCATCGAAAACACGTTACGCGCCCCTCGATAATTCGATTGTTCGGCAGTGTGGCGGTAGTGGAGTGGGAGAGAAAGGGGAAGCGCGGGGCGACGCCGCCCCCGACACCGTGATTGTGAAATTAGCCGTGTGAGTGCCGGTGACGGACGCACAAAGGACGCAATTACTCGGTCTGCCGCCGGCACCGACGTCATTGTAGCGTCACGCCCGCAAACAAAACGAACAATGGCCGCCCATAAATTGCTTGTTTCCAACTATACGAGACGCCACCGTCGATCGCTCGCTCGCTCGCGACTTCCGATAATCCTCCCGACGTTATTGCGCGGGTTATTAAATCGCATTTAAGTAAGGGTTTCGAAATTGTTTCCACATCAGACAAGATTTTATGTTAAAATTATAAATAATGCTTTAAAAGAGTCTTTTTAACGATTACTTAAGCTGGGGGTTGTTTTCTTTATTCAGTGAAGCGATAAAATGGAATAAAGGCAATTTAGGCCATTGGCTATAGAGGAAGTTTTAGATAAAGTTGGGTCAGTTAATTAAGTTCCGATCCCCACTATGGTCGGTGCTGCAGTGGACAACCTAGCCACTGGACGGTTGATTAGATTTCTCGGTAGAAGGAACAATTTTGATTGAGTTCTAATAAAATTGATCAAACTAAAACTTTGATGGAATTAATTTACATTTAATATTAATTGCCATCCGTATTAATTTGTATTTAATAAACAAATTGATTTATTCTTTGTCCTTTAGATCAACAAAAGGGATCCGGAAATTATTACAACTCGAATTATTCGCAAGGCAGATCAAATCACGGAAGTGGAGGTGGAGGTTACAATTCGTATAATTCCCAATCCCAACAAGGATATTCTCAACAAAGAGGCGGATACAATACCAATAATTCCGGTAGATATCAACAACAAGGAAACCGCGATCAGCATAGAAGAACTGGCGGTCCGTATAAGGACAGATTTGAACCGTACAGTTCTCAGTATAGAAGATAAATAAGTTAGAATAAGTAATAAGATCGATAGAATTTTATTTGCGATAGCAGACTCACTGGTTTGTACCTTACGCATTAAAAATAACGATTTATTTTTACTTTTATCAATTTCGACTTGTATTTTCATTATGATTTAGATATTTTTAAAACATAGCAGTATAAAGTAGAAGTGAGTTTATGTTTCTTGTTTTTGTTTGTACAGCAGAGAAATAATCAATAAATTTCAATGTTTTACAAAAAGAATTTGTTTAAACAACGTTGTAGTATAAACCTTTTTTCAGATCCTATAAATAATCTTCACAGAATGAATGAATATGTCCTTTATTATTATTATTACTATTGCTGCCGGGCTGAGGGGAGTGGCGCCACTTATCATCACGACCTATAAGATCTATTGTAACTTAAGCCAAAAGCTTAGGGCGAAAATAGGTCCTTGATAAACCTTAGTATTACTCCAAAGTCTTGTTCCTCTATGTTGGTACGTGTCAGGCTTACTTTACCGAAAATTTTGTGTCTTAGACGATCTCTGGCGACACGTTCACACAATATATGTTCAGCAGTCTCTGACTCGTCGTTACAAAGTCGACAGATGTGGAAGAGATGGTATTTTAGGGGCGCATGGCCGGTCAAAAACCCTGAGAGCGACCTTAGATTCCCTTTGCTGAGGCATAAAACCTCTTTGGGTTGGTTTTCCGACGGAATTATCATACTCTTCGCTTGTCTGTGACCTGGACATTTTTTTCCAGTGTAAGGCTACCTTTGAAGCCTCCCAACTATTGATTAGCTATTTTCAGTGGCTTTTTTGTAGTTCACAACCGGATTGGGGTCCAATAAAGGGCGTTTCCGCTGCGTTTTTGGCCAGCTTGTCCGTCTTTTCATTGCCCTCAATGTCTCTGTGATCTGGAACCCACCATAGAGTAACCCCATCCTTATTCACCTTCCTGCCTTTGATTTCAAAGTTGATTTCCTGTGTCTTTGATAATATAGTGTTAATCCAACTTAATCTTGCCTAACTCTATAAAATTTTTAAAAGATCATGATTCTTACGCAGGTATTTATTGTTGTTAGCTGCTCAAATCATCACCTAAATTGTTTTGACAAAAAACTGATGCAATGAAATAGGATTAGCAGAACTATTGTTTCAAGTAAAAGTGAGAATAGCTAAAAACTAAAAAAAAAACTTGAAAAGCGAAATATTCTACTCCTACAAATCACATGCAAGTTACCATTACAATAATCATAATCGCTATGTTAAAACTCTGTTTACAGCTGTGTCTCTCAACTTATTTGCATCATGGCCTTTGTCGCCGGTAATCTCCAATTTGTACATGGAGATGTTTGGAAAGGAAGCTTTAAGAAAGAGTCCGTGAGAACGAAAGCTATGGTTTCGTTATGTGGATGATAACTTTTTGATCTGGCAGCATGGAAAAGAACATCTTCTGAAGTTCCTAGAACATCTATGATATTCAACACCCCATGATCAAGATTACTATGGAAACGGAAGCTGCTAAACAGTTACCTTTCCTGAATGTTTTGGTCACTAGGAAGACAAAACTAGAAACGTTCGGGTTTAGTCGACTTGAGAGACGCACGGCTAAACCCGAATATTCAGGAATACCCAAGGTTCTAGTTGTAGCTCAAGTGTTAGTGTTAGCTCTAGTTTTAATTGTTATTCAGCGTCGGGTTGTTGTATATTTTTTTTGAACTAGAACTAGAAACATTTGGTATTAGCCGACTTAAGATCCAGATAATCCCGAATGTTTCTAATTCTAGGTCTAGTGTTAGTTTGTGATAGTGTTAATATTAATTCTAGTTTTAGTTGTTATTCAGCACCAAGTTGTTGTGTATTTTATCCACTTCGAATTTGTTTCTCAAGAAGATTATCGTGTTAGTGTTAATTCTAGTTTTAGTTTACTATAATACATTAAGAACTAATAATTGTGTAAATAATATCTATTTCATTCCGTGACAAATCCGCGCATATCTGAGCTTATGATATAAATGGGTCAATAAAGGGGATTAGGATTCAAAAGGATATACAGGAAGACAAGCATGCAGTGGTTCATACAAAGTTGACGCAGCAATATTAATAGACACAGATAACGACTTAGTCATAGAACGTTTTAAATCGCCTAACTCCGATAAACAAACCATATGAAACAAGTCGTGATACATCTAGCTTAAATATAATAAAGAAATAAAGTAAAACCGCTACAACTTGTAATTTCAGTTTGAGTGACAGGCCACAGGTGTACAGATGTCGCTTGACATCAAGACCCATCGCACCATTGACCCAAGAGCTCTGCAGAAGTACCATAATTTAACTGGAGCACTATTTCCATTCATCGGACACGGTCCTCCAACCACGCCGGTAAAAAAGGCCGGTGTATTGTCGCGCCGGCGACACCTACACGGGTGACACGTCGCGATGTAATGCACAGGGCCCTTTGATTATGATAATGGAAGCGCGGGACGGGTTCGCTCAGTCGGCACTGCTGGACGATGGAGTTTCTCGCTGGAGTGTGCTCCAGTCGAGAACCGCCCTTCAGGCGGCTCTTTCAGGGATCTCCACGACCCTGATTGCTGCTGACCGACAGCTTATATAACCCTTTTAAGGTCCTCTTCATTCCTCCTTCGCGATACGCTTTTCATAAGCTAGGATCTAATGCCGCTGGTGTTTTCTACGTTTTTGTCGGAAACTTTAGAACAGACGCCGTGGTTTAAGACTCTCCGTTTGAGAGGTGTTTTTAAATAATCCTCTGGATTATATGTTTTGCATAAACGACAAGTACAATAAAAAATGCAATGTATGTTTTTTTGTACTTAACTGAGTATTTCACAACAATGAATTATAGATCGTTCAAGATTTGTACAATTTGAGCTGAAATTAGAGGAAGCTTTAAAATCAATATACCCAATAAAACGATATAAATATACAATATATCGTTTGTGAGCAGCCTTCCCAGTCATTGGAGAGCACTTGTGCAATACGTCGTCAAGTAGGCGTAGCCAAACGATTGAAAAGGGCCGTCGAAGTGAAATTGAACCTTGGTATGCTAAGTTTATAAGGTTTATCATCCCTACTTGCGTCAAATGGATATTGGTCTTTACAGCCCGAAGGAAGTAAGGTTGAGATTGAACAACTGCAAGCCAGCAATAGTGAAAGGACGCCCTATGCGCGAAGAATTAGGGTTTCGATTGGTCGATAGGCGGGACGCCACGCCTTGCCGTGATCGTCGAGTGCCCGGGATGCAGTGGGGCTCAGGGAGAAGTGCCATGTACACTTTGAGGACACTCTACGAGTACGCTTAGGCAAGTTAAGCGCTCTTCGTGCCTAAAGAGTCTTACATCAAGAGCGCCCTGAAGAGTGCTATACCTCGATCGCTGATTTATTTATATAGTTAGTCGGTTTGTTTATTGAATTCGGGTGTCCCGGATATCGGGTTCCGGTCGAGTTCCGCGGACGAAGTGAAGAGGCGTCCCTGGTGCGTCGGGACGCCTTTATGGGACGCTGACGTTGACGGCGGTGCTGTTGGGTTCGGGAGCGGACCTGGAGTCGATGAGTGCGGGGGGCAGCTACGGGGAAGGTCCCGTGGTCCAGGACCGGGCTGATTTACACGGCCTACTACCCGAGCTCAATGGCGTCGAACTGGCGATGAGCCTTAGCCCCAAACACAACCAAGGAGGACAAGTACTCAGCCATCTTCAACAGTTACACCACCACTCGACGCCATTCAGTGTTACGGACATTCTTAGTCCAATTGAGGAATCTTATAGGAAATTGGAATTGGCAACTAATCCACCGTCGCCTTACAGGTATTTTAAAACAAATATAATTCATAGCCAATTTTCGTAAGATCGCGTTGAAATATAAAAACAGTCCAAACCAACCATCATAATTAAGCGAAATCCTTTGTGAGTTTCGCCCGTTCCCTTATGATTCATATTTTAGCTAATCCCGTTGTCAGGTAAATTTTCTTTCCGGTCGCAAACGCCTTTCTCTCCTAAATTGTATCATTAGGCCATCCTCCCATGAATAATTGCCATTGAAAAATTGTACAATGAAATTTGTTATGGTCAGTATTATTGTTAATGACGTAATAATTATTAGGATTAGTATGATCTGTATTGTAAAGTTTTGGACACAGGTTATATGAATGTTTATAAGTAAACGTCATCATAAATAAACATTTTTTTAAAGTTATAGATATATAATAGGTTTCACTTTTAATTCCTTACAGCAACTTTAACAATTATTACAGATCAACGTCTTCGGGGAGCAGTATTAATTCACCGGGAGCTATAGGAACTTCGGGAATTCCCACAAGCAGTTGCGGAGGCGCCATGAACGGCGGTTATCCTGTCATGGGCCAATTTGGCGGTGGTCAATACTGCCCTGTTTCAGAAAATTTGGGTTTAGCTCCACATTATTCCCCAGGATGGTACCAAAGTTCTGCAGCTGACCCACGATTCGCAAGTAAGTAACAATAACTTTTACACTATTCTAATATCTATCTAATGTGTTGGGGTAAAATAGATACGGACTCGTGCGGAATAGTGGCCTATTTTGTAATAGGATACGCGCGGTGTATCCCGGTATTCGCCTTCTCAGATAGTAACGTGATCCAACGGGCGTGCGTAAAGCCCTAAGGGGGTGTCTTATGGCGGACCCTTTAATGTGTGAAAACGGAATATGATACGCCCCATTCTCTACATTTCATCTACAAATAGCTTTGGTGTTTAAATAATAATTCCGAGGAAAGATTTAAATTACTTATTTCTAATGGTTTCTATTTTTTTTAATTATAACTAATATTAGTTATATGTAATGTGTTAATTAATTAGTGTAACCACTAATAAAGAAAAAAACTTGCATTGAAAAATAGCTGTTAATATTTTATCATAAATAAATTATGGCACTGTTTAAATATAACTGCATACGCTGCACTGCAACGATATTTAGAATTCCCTATAGTCTATAACAGTTGATTGCTCGTGAATAATTTGCATACAATCTGCATAACAATTTTGTTATAAATATAGGCAATGCCTTCCAAAGCTTTTATTGTTAGATTCTATACCAGGAAGTTTCCGCACATTGCGCAATATACTTGTAGAAACATATACAGAGTTTATTCTTTATGATGATAATTTCCTGATATGGTAATAATCATAAGTATTGAAATGTGCTCTATATTATTACGATAAGAACCTATGCTATTCACGTTGACCACTTGTGTATATAGTACAATATCTCAGACATTGTAGAGTTTATGTCGAATTTTTGCAAGCAACAGTTTTGAAAATGTCTTTTGCCGTTTAGTTCGTTAAAAATATAACTTCATTTTCATTACATTCCTCTTCTTTCGGGAAATTATCAAACGTTGCCTTGATTTTTTGCTTCTCCTGGCTATCTAAAGTAAACGATATTAATTCACTTTTGTTTTATTAACACGTTAATTGCTAAGTATAAAAATAATCTTTCAGAATTAACGGCAAGATTCGCAAGATTTGTGTATTTTTCATATTATATCACAACATTAGAAAAATAAATTATGCAGGGTGTTTCAGGTTTTTGTAGCAGGACTTTAACAGTCGATAGATCTTTTAAAATTAGCACAAAAACTTCATATAAACATAGGTCGACAAACGCTTTGTATTGAAGATACAGGGTGCTTAAGTTAAATTTTTTAATTGATTTTCATTTAATATTACGCGTGTATTTCAACCGATTCTATTCAAATTTGGTATACGGAGGTTTTTTGGCATGAGAAAGACGATTCTGGAGTCCGTTTTACTATAGCCGATAGAGGGCGCTTTGTAATGTATTCTTTACGGATTAATATAACAATAACTTTTCTGACAGTATACTTTTTGGCTTTTTGAATAAAAATTTTTATTCTCGGTGCTTTTTTAAGCAAAAACGGTACTCTTATCAAAATGCACTAAAGTTGAGACCAATTTTTTTAGAGGATTGTTAAAGATAGGTATAATAATGTTTGCCATTGAAACAAAGTAGGTAAGTTCACTAATGTTTTAGTTTATTGTATCAAGTGTCACATCACCAGTAGTTGTTGATCAGTGGTAAATTCAATTTTCTTGTTTATAAACGTGCTAAATTCATTAGTCTTTTTCCTAATCGTGTTAAATTGTTTTTTTTTTCAAAATTTTTTAATTTTTTGTTTGCTGCATGAAAACTTTATGAAATGCCGTTTATTTTTCCTAACCAAGAAGCGTTAGCGGATATTCATTTTGTATATGGGTTTGCAAACGGAAATTCAGCAGAAGTAGCCCTAGAGTATAAGAGAAGATATCCAAATAGAAGACATCCTTCTGTGTTTGTGAAAGTGTATAGACAAATAATTGAACAAGGGCTAAATAATGACGGGTAGATCGTAATAATGACAATGTTATATTGCAAAGAAACTTTAGAAGAAGAATTTTGCGACAGAGACCCCACTACGAGTGTTAGAAGAGTTTCGAATGCCTTACGAATTTCTAAGGCGCGTGTTTATCGCCTTTTAAAACATGATCATAGACATGCTTATCATTTACAACCCTTGCAAGGATTGCAACCAGGCGATAAAGAACGGCTTGTAACGTTTTGTCGGTGGATTCCTAAAGCATCGGCCAACAATCGAGATTTTTTAAATAATGTAATGTGGAACGATGAATCGTGTTTCACAAGACATGGGATTGTAAACTTTCACAATTTACGTGTTTTGGTATCCCCACGCAATTCGGCCAAGAAACTTCCAACATGAATGTAGTGTCAACGTCTGGCTAGGTGTTTGTAATAATCATCTTTTCGGGCCATACTTTTTGCTACCACAACTGACCGCTGCGGCGTTCTTGTAATTTTTGGTAGCTGACCATGCCAATATGTGGGATGACATTGATTTAGCTTTAGGAAGAAAGGCCTTGTTTCAACTTGATGATTGTGTAGCTTATCATAGTAGAGTGGTAAAAAATTAGCCTGACCACCATTTTCCTACAAGATGGATGGTGGACCAGTCGCATGGCCCCACAATCTGCAGATCTTAATGCTTTAGACTTTTTTGTGTGGATATATTTGAAAGGAAAATTGTATGAGACACCTGTTGCCACAAGGGATGAACTTTTAATAGGATTAGGAATGCTTGTAATGACATAAAGCCGTTCTTAAATAGCATTACTCGATCAGTAATTCGTCGGTCAGAATTATGCAAGCAACATTTTTCACATTTTCAACAATTTCTTTAATTTTCTTCTTTTATTATTTAGATTCAAAACATTAATAAACTAAAACATTAGTTAATTTACCTACTTTGTTTCCATGGCACACATTATTTTAACTATCCTCTAAAAACATTGGTCTGTATCGAATAATAAAAAGCGGATTATCTTGAAAACGATAAACTTTAGCGCATTTTGATAAGGGTACTCTTTTTGCTTAAAAAGTACAGAGAATAAGAATTTTTATTCAAAAAGCCAAAAAGTATACTGTCAGAAAAGTTATTGTTATTTTAATCCGTAAAGAACTTCATAATCGTCTTTCTTATGCCAAAAAAACCTCCGTATACCAAATTTGAAAAGAATCGGTTGAAATACACGTGTAATATTAAATAAAAATCAATTTAAAAATTTAATTTGAACACCTGTATCTCCAAAACAAAGCGTTTGTCGACCTATGTTTATTACCATGTTAATTACCTAGTTTTTGTGTTAATTTTAAAAGATCTATCGACTGTTAAAGTCCTGCTACAAAAACCTGAAACACCCTGTATAATAATAATTTTAAATAGAACTAAATCCTACAAACGTTAAAAATCCTGGCATAATGATTTTATAACGTTTCTAGGATTTACTTAACTTAAGGTAATTTATGGTGTAGATTATTTCCGATCTGACACATTTTCGCCACTTTTCGTGTTAAACGTCGTACAACAATAGTCAAAAACTTGATGAATACTTTTAGTCACTAAAAATGTACAATATGTGACGCTCTATCTACATGCCAAAGACTTCTTCGACAAGGACGTATAGAAACCAAACCGGCCAAATCAAGAATCACAAGAAACTACTTGACACGACAAGACTTACTATTGAAAAACCTTGGCTTCTAGGTCAGCTTAAAAAACTCCTCTTCGGTAAAGACGTAAAACAGTCGTTTTTCAACGGTGATTATCTGGAGAATTCGGAAACATATCTTGGATACAACAAACAGGTAATACTTATCCAGGCGACAAGATGATGAAGCATATGGAAATGCCTTTCTAAAGTTGAAGGGTCTCCTCGTAAAAAAGCTAAAAGGAAATACAAAGATCGATATTACCTTTTCTTTTTACGAGTCTTTTCGGTGAAGCCTACTTAGCCTACAATGAGAACTTCTATCAATCCACACTGAATTAACGCGTAGCACTTTACAGACGAGTATCATGAACCAATGCAAGACCAAACCAGAAATGGGAAATTCTAGCTGATATACTGATATATTAAACACTTTTGTAATCATACGTAAAACTCGGCTCCGACTTTATTTCCAAGATGTCGAATTCGAGAATAAATTCCTTGAAATTTCTCATTTGTCGAGTAATATCAGTAATCATTATATGTATACGGTTTATGGAAAAATCAATGAAACGAGTCTAAAGATTTAATTATTTTGCAATTTTTTGGTGTAAAATTAAATTTTTTCCGACAGTTTTAAACGAGTTTTGACGTCATTGATATTTTTTTCAAATAGCAATCCCCAATTTTTATTACGGAATATGAAAGAGGTTTTTTTTCTGAATTTAGTGCAGTCAATATTAATATTGGTTGTATAAGAAAATTTTCGAGAAAAATTACTTTAAAGATTAATTACTTAAAATTTGCTTAAATAATAAAAATAGGAGTAGCCATGAGTAACTATGGTAAACAATTATTTATATAAACAAAATGTGTGTTTTGAAAAACTAAAATAGACTTGTTTCGCCGTTTATGAAAAATAATGTAATTTTTGCAAATAATAACTGCAAAATTCAGAAAAAAATCTCTTTCATATTCCGTAATAGGGGATTGCTATTTGAAAAAAATATTGATGAGGTCATAACTCGTTTAAAAATGGCGAAAAAATAATTAAATCTTTAGACCCGGTTCAGGGATTTTTCCATATCCGGTTATAATGATTTTTTCGCCTATATCCGCTACTTTACGGGTGTCTGTATATGGTTAACCCAGGGCTGTATTTCACTACTATATTCATCTTTGAATCTAGTCATCGACAATGACTTTCAATTTAATGTACGTGCTAGAAAAGTGTTATAACTTAAGAGTTTGACGTCCACTTAGGGGTTTCGCCATTTCACGCCAAGTGCAATTTTTCGGTAGAATTGGCAATCTTTGATGCGTTTTTAATCTAGTTATAGTAATATCATTACTAAACTTTCAAAAAAACACGTTTAGTTTGTTTTTCATGAAATAAAATGGTATTCATAAACCTGTACAATTGCAATA